TTTTTTAACAACATAACAAAAAACAATATGGACCTCACCAAATAGAATATACATATATCAAACTGATGACATCTGTGGAAAGAGATGGTGAAAAAGCTCCATGTTATCAGCCAACATAAAGTCAGGGGCAGATTGTGGAACAGATCATCAGTTTTTCCTATGAAAGGTCAGGCTGAAGCGGAAGAAAATTAAAACAAGTATACAAGAGCCAAAATAAAAATATGACCTTGAACATATCCCACCTGAACTTAAAGATCATCTGCAAAACAGATTTGTTGAATTAGACACTAATGGCCAAAGACCTGAAGAGCTGTGGAATGACATCAAGAACATCTTTTAGGATAAAAGCAAAAGGTTATCAAGAAGGTAAGAAAAAAGAAAAACAACAAAATGGATGTCAGAAGAGATTCTGAAACTTGCTTTCCAATGTAAAGATGTTAAAGCAAATAGAAGAAATGAGAAAGTAAAAGAGCTGAACAGAAAATTTCAGAGGACAGCTTGGGAAGACAAAGTCAAACATTATAATGAAATGTGCAAAGACCTGGAGTTAGAAAACCAAAGGGGAAGTACACACTCAGCATTTCTCAAAGTAATGGGACTGAACTAAAAAATCAAACCTCAGTTTAAAATATTGAAGGATTCTATGGGTAAAATATTGAATGATGTAGAAAGCATCAAAAGAAGATGGAAGGAATACAGAGTCACTCTACCAAAAGGAAATGATCAATGTGCATTCATTCAAAAGGCAGCATGTGATCAAGAGCCAATGATCCTGAAGGAAGAAATCCAAGGTGCACTGAAGGCATTGGCAAAGAACAAGGCTCTAGGAATTGATGTAATACAAACTGAAATCTTTCAACAAACTGATGCAGTACTGGAGACACTCACTCATCTATGCCAAGAAATTTGGGAGACAACTATCTGGCCTACTGAGTGGAAGAAAAGCATAATGTGCCCTTTCAAAAAGAGGTGACCTAACGGAATGCAGAAATGATTGGACAACATCATTAACATCGCATGCAGGTAAAATTTTGCTAAAGATAATTTAAAAACAGCTGCAGCCATACATTGACTTAATTGCTCTCATGAGTAACCTATAAATAGACCAAGTGGCATCAGCAATGCGCACAAGTGTAGCAACGATTGTGCAGGACCAGGCAGTGTCTCATTATGTTGTGCATAAGGTCACTATGAGTCAATACTGACTCAACTGCACCCAAGAGCAGCAGCAATAACAACAACACAGATTTAATAAGTATGGTGAAACAACACAACATGGCACACACTTTTCCTGATTTTAAACATTTGAGCTCTGTTCTAACAGCTGTCTCCCTTTGTATGGACAGGTTTCTCATGAACAAAATTAAATGTTCTGAAATACTCACACTTCACAGTGTTGTCCATAGCTTGTCATGATCCATAGAACCGAAAGCATTTGCATAGTCTGATAAAGCACAAGTAAACATCTTTGTGGTATTCTCTGCTTTTAGCCAAGATCCAACTGATATCAGCAATGACATCCCTGGTTCTACGTCCTGTTCTGAATCTGGCTTCAATTTCTGGCAGTTCCCTGTTGATGTACGATTGCAACCGTTTTTGTATTATCTTCAGCAAAATTTTACTTGCATGTCATATTAATGATATTGTTTGATGATTTCTTCATTCTGTTGGGTCACCTCTCTTTGGAATGGTCACAAATATGCATCTTTTTCAATCAGTTGATCAGGTAGTTGTCTTCCAAATTTCTTGGTATAGATGAATGAGCACTTTCATTGCTTTTTCAGTGTATTGAAGGGTACAACTGCTGTCTCCCCTTAGTGGAACAAAAGGAGAAAAACACACACAAGAAAACAAAACAGAACAAATAAACAGGCAAAAAACAGTAAAAACATAATAAAGGAGAAAAATAAGAATGGGAAGGAACAAGAAAAAAGATAATATAGTAACTAAAAAGAGAAAAGATGGACAGGTAAAGAGACCTGTACAAGAGAAAAATAAGAAAGAAAATAAAAGGAAGAGAAAAGACCACTAAGATAAACAGAGAGGGGAGATGATTAGAGAATAGTAAAGAAAAGTCAAGAGGAAAAGAAAGAAAAAGAGAAAAGAAAAGAAGAAAAAACAAAAACAGAGAGATAAAGGAAAGAGACAAAGAGGAAGAAAGATGAAAAAGAATAAACAAAGCAAGGAAACAATGAAAGGAAAAATAAACAAACAAAAAACCAGTGTGGTTGTTGGACCCAGAGAAGATAAAACTTTGGAGGACTCCTGCCAGCTAGTGAACTCATGAAGTGAGTTCCCAGCTCTAGATGGAATCTTACAAACCTAGATGTTGTCTATGTTTGTGGCATCCAATCCGGAAGTAGTTTTTGGAGCTCTTCGGGTTGTTAGTTACAGTGTCTGTCAGAACCATAGAGCAGCTGAAAGCAGGGTGGTTGACTATGAAGGTTCCTGCTAGTCTAATTCTGCCCTGAAGGCTCTGTGGGTTGTGTAGATCTGGAGCAGAGTCTGTCTGAATGCAAGTACCAAGGTGGCGCAATGGGCATCTGTCTCAAACTGCATGGCTCCAAATTCTCAGAGAGCACGGTCTGTGCTGGAGGTAGATGAGTGTGGAGACTAGCCTCACCACTATTATCCAGTGAAGTGTGGGGAACAAGAAGTAATCGTACCTTCTCCATCACACATGTGAATCTGTGCCATCAGGCCACCATCTCTCTGTCTCTTTAAAACTGCTCACAACAGTTCAAGATGGTCACTCTGTGTCTGGCTGACAGTTCGTTCATCAGTCAGTCTCCTTTCACCTTCTTTGTATTCCCAGTGTAGTGAGTAGAAAAATATATAGGAGGGGTTTTCAGATTTGAAATGGTCATTACCAGTCAACTTCAGTTCACTAATGCCTAGGATATCGATCCTTATGAGTTCCATTTCATTTTTGACAAATTCCAATTTTCCTAAATTGATACTTTGTACATCTCATGTTCTGATTATTAATGGATGTTTGTAGCTGTTTCTCATTTTGAGTTGCGTCCCATTAGCAAATGAAGATCCTGAAAGCTTTATTCCATTCATGTCATTATGGTCAACTCTACTTTGAAGAGGCAGCTCGTCCCCAATTTTGAGTGCCTTCCAACCTGAGAGACTCATCATCTGGCATTGTATCTGACAATTTTCTGCTGCTATTCATAGGATTTTCAGTGGCTAAACTTGAGAAGGAGTCTGCATCTCCTTCTTCCTAGTCTTAGTCTGGAAGTTCCACTGAAACTTGTCTACTGTAGTTGGTCCTGCTGATATTTAAAATACCCATGGCATAACTTCCAACATCACAGCAACATGTAAGCCACCACAGTATGACAAACTGACAGACAAGTGGGGGCTGATACTCACTATTAAAGCTCACTTTGCTCTCTTTTCTATGTGAGTAAAGCATTATTCCAACCAGTGCATGTGTGAATTGTGTCTTTCTTGGTGACCTTGGATCTTGGCTTGACTGTTTCTTGAAAGTATGGCTCCATTCAGAGTGTATGTCCTTATAGGCAGCATGATATCAAGGAAAAAGGACTGAATTAAAAGCCAAAACTCCTGCTATTTCTTGAGCAATGTTTGGGGAAGTATTTATTATGGCTGTGTTTCCAATTTGTCCTAAGGAAAATGTATTCATTCTACTGGTTCTGTCCAGCTGGAATTGATGGGAAACTTCCAGGAAATATTAGTAAAGGGGATTGCGATCAGTAATTTGTTTTCAGTTTTTAAGGAGGGTACAATATTTGGAGAATGTTTTCCAGAAACGTTTCCTCATTGCTTCCCAGAGATCAGAAGTAATTTAGCCAAGACCCACAGTGCAGTGTGGACATGATAGAACCTTGGGACCCCCTCCTTCCTGGCATTCTACCCTTTACCCAAACTAGGTAAAGGATTTCATTCATTCCTTTTTAAATTTTATTTTAAACTTTTATTGTGAATTGAGTGAAGATTTACAGAGCAAATAATCATTTTACATTCAACAAATCACATACTTTGGTTCATTTCAATGGTTGCAACCCCCTCTATGTAACATCAGTTATCCCATTTCCTCCCTTTTCCATTCCACCCTTCTTCCCAACCCTTCTGAACATTGTCCTTAGATAAATGTTGCCCTTTTGATCTTGAATGATTGACCCTTTCATGATAACCATACCTAACTAGTGTTGATGTTCTTCCTATTGCTTGACCGAAAATTGTTACAAGGGTAAGTTCTGTTTCAGACCTGAAGGGTGGGCGAGGGTCATAGTCTCAGGTTTCTCCAGTCTCTTTCTGACCAGTAAGCCTGCTCGTTTAAAAAATTTTGATCTTTATTCCACATTTTCTACCACTGTATCCAGGATCTTCTAATGTAATCCCTTTCAGATTCATTGGTAGTGGTAGGCAGCCATCATCTAGTTTTTCTTGTCTGTTGTGGAGACTGATGTTGACAAATTCCATAAGCCCACAGAACTAATTGATTCCAAGCATCTTCAGTTTTCATCATTATTTTTTTCTACACATGGAGAGACCAAAGTTGCACCTTCTATGATTGTTCATGAGCTTTTGAGATCCCAGTCGCTACTCATCAAACCAGGATGTAGAACATTGTCTTTGTGAACTATGTTATGCTAATTGACCATGGTGTCCCCTGAGACTGTGGTTCTGAGCCCCAGGCCCAGCAATATCTAAGTTTTTGTCATTTTGCTCTATCACATTCATAGGTGTAAATGAATGTGTAAATGAATGTGATAATCCCCATGCCCAAATATTCTCTGTCAAACTCTTATGTATTTATGAGCGCACTCCCAGTCTCCATCCCATGCCCGTTCAGCCTGCATATCTGTCCATGTATCTACCCATAGAACACTGTTATTGCAGGATTGTGTATATAACAGTATTTACCTCTATCCCCTTTAACTGTTGCATTCCTCCCTGTGTCTTCACCTATCTACATCATTCTTCAGCCAACCTTTTTTTTATTGTTGTTGTGCATTGCATTCCCAGTCACCTGAGTTAACACGTCTTTCCTCAAGCCAGAGCTCTGATAGCGTAGTGGTTACGAATCGGGCTGCGAACCTTAAGGTCAGCAATTTGAAACTACCAGTGGCTCCGCGGGAGAAAGATGAGGTTTTCTGCTCCTGTAAAGATTTACAGCCTCGGAGACCCTGTACAGGGTCACTATGGGTCAGAATCGACTCGATGGCACTTAACAACAACAACAACTCCCACCCCTAGTAACCATCAAAGAATGTTTTTTTTAGCTTGAAAGCCTTTTCTTGATGTTACAAAGGTTGTTTTTGTTGTTGTTAAGTGCCATCGAGTCAATTCTGACTCATAGCAACCCTACGTAGGGTTTCCAAAGAGCGGCTGGTGAGTTTTTGGTTAGCAGTCCAGTGCTTATCCTACAGCACCAGTTGTTGTTAAGTGCTGTCAAGTTGATTCCAACCCATAGCAACCCTGTATAGGGTTTCCAAGGAGCAGCTGGTGAGCTTGAACTGCCGATCTTGCAGTTCAAACAACTTCGCAGTGTGATGCATTAACCCACAGCGCCACACCAGAACTCCACAGCACCAATAGTCTTATATAATATTTGTCCTTTTGGGATTGGCTGATTTCTATCAGCATAATGTCCTTTCTTCTTAAACTGTAAACTTGTAAGCCCATCTGTTAATTTGTCTTAAAACTTTTAACTGAAGTCTGTTAAGTGCATTTGAGTCAGTTCCAACTTCGTTCCAACTCAGTGACCCTGTATAGGGTTTCTAAGGAGTGGTTGGTGAGTTTGAACCACTGACCTTGTGGTTCAAACTTACCTGAAGGTCAGAGTGCTTATGGTGCAACACCAGGACATTTAAAACAATATTTATTGAATTCATAATGGTGTCAAGCTCTTGATATTTAATTCCCTCTGACTCTCACAACAGTTATGCAGAGCTCGTATTACCTACCACATCCCACCTGCAGTCAAATAACTTGCCCAACATCGCACAGTGGAAAGTTGGAGAGGAGATTCTAACTGAAGTTTGTCCAACTCTAACCCTATGCTTTCCCAATAGCACACAACGGGGTGGGGGGGGATCACAAAAACAAAGGAAAAGGACAAAACAAAACACAGAGTGATTTTAGCATGATGCTATTTCAGAAAAGTGCATTCAATAGTCATATATTATCAACAGCAGTAATTGTCATATTAGATAAAAATAGATTTCGCTTTTTCTTGTTCTGAAGTTTTTTAAAAAATAAATACTAAAACATACTTTGGACTTGCTCGTTTAAGTGTCAAAAGGGTGGTGGATGGTGTTCATGTGCTTCTATAGCAGCAAGTTTGTGTACTTTGTAAAGGTGCACAAATGTAGGAACAGTTACTCCATTGCTCACAGACTTTTCCTTCACCCCTTTCCTCCTCACCACTTTCCATTTCTGAAGATGATGCATCCATATGGTGTATAAATGCGAGTGCAAATTCCTACGTGACACACTAGTGGGAGTTATTTCTGCACCCTCAGCCTAAACTAACCCCAGATTTCCTACCCGCCTGCCCTCCGCCCTGTGCCTCCCATTATCCCCTCCGATAAGCGGCCACAGGCCCAGAACTGCAGGGACTCAGTGGCCCCAGAATCATTGTGAAGTCGCCTGGGCGTCACAGGCGACTCTGGTCCTCGGAATCGGAGGGCGGGTCGGGTCACCACAGCGCCCCCTGGAGGTCCCGAGACACTCACCCAGACGCTGGGTATGCCCCGAGGCAGCATGGTGGGCCTCGACGGCTTCTCTTCGAGGCCCTACCTGGACCTCTGGGAGTCCCCGCTGCCCACCCCGGAGCTTGCATCCTCGGCGTGGCGGAGCAGGCCAGGAGCTCGGCCCGCACCAGCCCTTTGCGCCTGGGCTGGGGACCCCGCCCCAGGGAGCGAGGCAGCGTTGCACTGGCAGGCGTTGCCACCGCGCTACTCGCCCACACCGCGACCTCTGAGGCACGAGTACAACTATCCCTCGTGGGAAAGTCGCAGCCTGACCGACGTGGCCCTAAGGCCCCCGGACCGTGCCAGGAAGCAGCGATCCTGCAGCCGGCGCCTGGAGAATGCTTGGGGGGAGGCAGGGACCAAGCCCCAGCAGCTGAGAGGTTGCAGTCACAGCCGGATTTGGCAGCCGATGCAACTGTACCAGACTCAGCCCTGCCAACATTACCCTCCAGCCCAGGGAGACTCGCCCCCGCCGAGCCCTAGCAGAGCTTACACTCCCTTAAGTGAGCCTTTTGGAGTAGAAAAGGTACAGAATGGAAACCAGTGGGCAGTGCCTGTCGGTAGAGATTTAGGTTGCTGGTCTCTTTCCTCAGCTCCCACGGAGAAGTCTTCTGTGCTTTCCAAAGTGAGTGCACAGTCGGCTAGTGTGTACCCCCAGGGCAGTAATGAGTTGATGGAATCACTAGCCAGTCAGTACTCCCAGCTGGAGGGGAGTTCAGAGCCAGTGTCCAGTGAGGAGGTTCAGGGACAGCAAACACAGCTCCTCAAAAGCAAGCTGGCAGAGATGGTGATCTCTTCCAGGGACCAGAAGATTGTGGCTCTGGTGTTGGCCCGGCTCCAGAAGGCCCAGAGGATGCGGGAGCTGCAGCAGCAGGCTGTTGCTGCCTGGGAGGAGCTGAAGCTCTCAGACCAGAAGGTCCAAATGACTCTGGAGAGGGAGCGACAGCTGCTACTGCAGCAGAACCAGGAGCAATGGCAGCAGGAGAAGGAACAGCCCAACCGCCAGGTGAAAAACAAGATCCAGAAGGAAGGTCCATGGAAGAGGCAAGTGGAAGGCCAAGAGAAGCAGCGCCAGGGCAAACTGGAGAGAAGCCGGGGCGCCGCTGACCACAGGAAGCAGTGGCCGCTGCAGCAGTTGAAAGGACAGCAGAGATCGCAGGAACAGAAGAGCCTGCAACCGCAGAAGAGGCTGGAGCAGGATTGTCACAAGAGGCACCTGCACGCCATGGGGGACCTGAAGAAGGCCCAGGTGACCAACCTTACCTCCATAGTCAATTACCAAGCCCGCAAAGTCCTCATGGACTGCCAGGCCAAGGCTGAGGAGCTCCTCAGGAAACTGTCCCTGGAACAAAATTACCATCAGTCCCAGGAGACCCAGCAGTGCCTGGTTAAGGAGCATCACCAAGAGCTGAGGGAGAAGGACCAGAAGGAGCACAAGAAGTTCCAGGTCAAATGGCAAGCGGGAGAGTTGAAGGAGCAAACAAAGATGCACAAGAGGATGCTGATGGAGCTGGCCGACCAAAAGATCCGGCAGGCCAAGAGTAACGCCCACAAGAACATCAAAGACAAGGCCAAGCGTGTTCGAGATCTCAATGTCCTGCGGGAAAAGAATCCTCACATCCTAAAGTTGAAAGCCGAGAAGGAGGAAAAATGCCACATCGAAGGCATCAAGGAGGCCATTAAGAAAAAGCAGCAGAGAATGGAACAGATCTCCCGAGAGAAAGCAGCCGCCCTGGAGGAGTTCCAGAAGATCTCCAGGGTCTCTTTACAACCAAGAGATAAAATGAGAGCCTTTGATCAGATGGCAGGGGAGGCCTAGCTCTGTACCAATCAGCAGAGGATTAGCCTGCAGCCCATGTAGCCAGAAACAGATGTGAAAATGCGATTCATTTTATTATCTGATTATAATCGAGCATTCATAAATAAGTGTATTAAATCTGCAACTTTCTCTTATGAAGTAGTTTTAGTGATTCATTTTGGATAGTTTAGAGGGTTGTACACAGAAATTTGAGGATTTTAAGAAAATGACATAACATTGTAAATTTTGTATTTAAATAGAAAATATTCGTTTAACTTTCAAATATTTTAAGAACACATCAGACACAACTTGGAGGAACCAGAAAAATTGATAGGATTATGTCCTAAGGATAAGTCCTAAGGATAAGATTATGTCCTAAGGATAAGTAAGAACCTGTATACTGCATTCTCAAGTCTTGGGGCACATATTACTATTTTAAAGGCTCTTAAAAAGGCCTGTAGTACAGAAAGTTATTTGTTTAACCTAGTGTTTTTCACAAAATAAGGAACCTTTTTACCAACCCCCACCCCCACCCCCGCCTCAGATTGGTGTTCTGTCATTGGTGCTCTACAGAACATGTTTTTGGAAAGGAAGCTCCCAGATTGTGAACTACTTTGACCCGCCCTCCCTGTACTGATACCTAGTATTTAGACTTCTATCATTTTGACTTTGCTACACTGCCAAAGCCATGCTCTTTGTCTTAGTCAAAGAGAAATTTGTTTTCTCACAGTTTAGGAGGCTAGAAGTTCAAGTCTATGATGGGCTCTAGGAGAAGGCTTTCTCTTCCTTGTCTTTTGAGGAAGGTTCTTGTCTCTCTTTAGCATCTGCTCCTGGGAGATCTTCATATAACTTGCCTCATCTCTGCTCTGCTTGTTTAATCTCTATATCTCACAAGATAGTGACTTAATACACACCCTACATAAATCCTTCCTCATCAAAATAACAAAGACAACCCATTTCCAAACAGAAGTTAGGATTTGCAACATATATTTTGGGGGGACACAATTCTATCCACATCCAAGAACTTACTGGAACCCATTTGTTCTGATTATCTTTCTTTTTTAGGGTCCTAGGTGTGGCACTATAGGATAAACACTGTACCTCGAGGTTGGTTTGAACCATAAAGTCAATAGTTCAAATCCACCAGCTGCTCCTCAGAAACCGTATATAGGGTCGTTATGATTCGGAACCAACTTGACAGCATTGAATGACAACAAAAAAAAGCCAGTATTATGGAGTCCTGGTGTGGCACTGTGGGTTAATGTGCCAAACTGAAAAGCAGTTTGAACTGCAAGGTCGGTGGTCCAAGCTCACCAGTCACTCCTCGGAAACCTTATACAGGTTCGCTATGGGTCGGAACTGACTCGATGGCACTTCACAACAACAAGAACAATGGGGTCCTGGTGTGGTACTGTAGGATAAGCACAGGACTGCTAACTGAAAGGTCAATGGTTCAAACCCACCAGCTGCTCCTTGGAAACTATGAGTCTAAACCGACTTAAAGGTACCAAAGTACAATAGTCAGTATCATGGAGCAAAATTCTACTGAACAGTTTCTCTTCCCCTCCATTTTTCCTCTTATGAAGGAGTTCTGTGATGTCATTCAGTCTGCCCACATTGCCTCTAATTAACCTAACCAGGTTCTGAACGAATGACTAAGCCTGACTCAGTAACATGACATTTTAAAAATGAGAAGCCTGAAGCTAAGTAGAAGTTAGCCCATCACATCTCAAAGTCTCTTTTAAAAAAAACCACTAAATGTTTTCTTTGAAAGGTCATTAATGTAACGTGTCTTTTTTAGAGAGGAAGACAAATCAAAAGAATATGTCCCATTAGAAGCCTTCTGTCTATTAATACTAAAATTTGAAATGCAATTAACCTCACAGAGCGCTTGTTAAGGAACTTTTTGCAGACAGGTCAGTTGAGGTTTACTTTCTCATCTTATGTATGGAACCGACCCTCTTCACTGTTCTGTTTCCTTCTCTTGACCTAGCTCCCTTGTACCTGCTGCTTCCTGGGTCCTTCCTATTCAGGCCTTCCCTCTTTAGCTCTTGGGTTAATTGCTCATACATAGAGTCCCAATGTCCAATCATCTTCTCTTCTCAGCTACTCTAATTTTCTGCTCTAGCCAAATGCCACATGCATTCAGGCATTCTAGGGCAGTGATTAGGATGCTTTAGACAGACCTAGGCATCAATCCTAACTCTCAATACTGTTGTGTGGTGTTGGGGATCAGCCTTGGTTTCCCCATCTTTAAAAGAGAATAGTAATTTGTACTGCAAAAGGGATGTTATGAGGGATGATTAAAATAATCTCTGTACAGTGCTCGGCATAGAGCTCAGAACATAATACATATCCTATAATGATTTATTATTATTAACAGTACTAACCTTGCACTTTTGTAAGGTCTCTAACCTTGATGCTTCCTTACCAGCTGCTGCCTCCCTTCTTTTCTAAGTCTGATTTAAAATTGCCAAGGATTTCATTTTACTTGAATCACAACCAGCATGCATATAACTATTGTTGTCAAGTGCCGTTTAGTCGTTTCCAACCCATAACGACCCTGCTGTATAGGGTTTCCAAGGAGCAGCTGGTGAGCTTGAACTGCCGACCTTGCAGTTCAAATGGCTTTGCAGTCTGGCACATTAACCCACAGCGCCACACCAGGACTCCATGCGTGTAACTAGCAGTCAGTAATTCAAGCAATGTATTGCATTGGGTGAATCTGTTTTGAAAGATCTCTCTAAAGTGTTCAAAAACAAACGTCACTTTAAGGACTAAAGTCCTCCTGACCCAAGCCATAGTAGTTTCAATTGCCTCATATGAATGTGAAAGCTAAATAGTGAATAAGGAGGATAGAATAAGAATTGATGTATTTGAGTTAAGGTATTGGCAAAGAACACTGGATATACCATGAGCTGTCAGAAGAGCCAGCAAGTCTGTCTTGGAAGATGTATGGCCAGGATGCTCCTTAGAAACAAGACTGGTGAGACTTCATCTTACTTACCCCCTGTTATCAGGAGGGACCAGTCCCTGGAGAAAGACATCCTGCTTAGTAAAGCAGAGGGTAAGCTTTCAAGAAGAAGCCCACCAATGAGATGGATTGACACAGTGGCTGCAGCAGTGGGCTCCAACTTAATAGTGGTTGTGGGGATGGTAGTGTTTTGTTCTGTGCATAGGATCTGAATTAGAACCAATGTGATGGCATCTAACAACAAAAAACCCTTAAAAGTCAGTGAGATATCAGTAGAGAACCAGAGTGGGAATCCAGTCTAATGTCCATTTTTCAATCTAAAATCATTCACCATACCAAGAACCAGGAGGATTTCGTACTGAATGAAAAAGAGACAATATAGACCAACACCAAGATAGCAGCAGTTTGTCTTGGACAAATAAAGTAAAGATGTGTGGCGATATAGGATAAAGCAATAGACCACAAGGTCAGTGGTTCAAACTCACCAGCTGCTCCTTGGAAGCCCTTTACAGGGTTGCTATGAGTTGTAGCCATCTCGACAGTACTAATCAACAACAGCATCAAACAGAAAGATCTAAACGGAAAATTCATCACTGAGAAATGTAATAAAAGGTTTAGAGGATGGACTCAACAGAATGGAGGGGCAGAGTAAAAGAAATAATTAGTGAAGTGGAAGATTAAACAACAGAAATTATCTGATTTAAACAACCGATATCAAATAGACTGGGGATTATCAGAGCCTCAGGAACCTACAGGACTATAAGTGAAGATTTGACATGTCATTGGAGTCCCAAAAGGATACAAGAAAGGATGGCTAACAAAGTACTTGAAGGAATAATGTTTGAAAATTTTTTCTCATCTGTCAAGACACATAAACCTACACATTTAAGAAGTTGAGCAAACCCCAAACAGGATAAACCCCAAGGAAATCCACTCCAAAGACAAATCACAGTTAAACTTCAGAAAACTGTTGTTGCTTTTGTTGCTACGTGCTGCCAAGTCAATTCTGACTCATAGAGTCCCTGTATAGGGTTTCCAAAGAACAATTGGTGGGTTTGAACCACTGACCTTGTAGTTTGCAGTCCAGTGCTGATCCTAAAGTACTACACCAGGAACTTTATTGTTGTTATGTGCCATGGAGTCAGTTGCAACTCAGAGCGACCCTGTACAGGGTTTCCGAGGCTGTAAATCTTTAGGGGAGCAGAAAACCTTATCTTTCTCCCGCAGACTAGACACAATGAAAATGTCTTGAAAGCAGCCAGAGAAAAATGACACTATGCCTACTGAAAACCAATGAGAATGATAGCATATTTCTCATCAGAAACTATGGTGGCCATAAGAAAGTGGCACAATATTTAACTCATAATAAAAGAAGCATCAACCCAGATTCCTATACCTAGTGAAAGTATTCTTCGTGGAATGAAGGGAAAGCAAACACATTATCAGGTGAGAGAAAACTAAGAATTTGTGATGAACAGACCTACCCTAAAAGAAAGGCTAAAGGAAGTTCTCTAAACAGGAAAAAAATAAGAGGAATATCAGGCAAAACATGGTAAGAATATGCATAAATGCATTAAACATCTCTTGAGTTTTCCAAGTTATGGTTAACAAGTGAAACAAAAATTATATATAAAACAGTCTGATGTGGTTCCAAATGTATGTAAAAGAAATATGTAAGACAATGAAACTATAAATGGTGGTGGTGATGGTGGTTGCATGCCGCCAAGTTATTTCCAATTATATAGGGTTTCCAAGGCTGTAAATCTTTATGGTGGTACAAAGGCTCACCTTTCTCCCCTGAAGCAGCAGGTGGATTTGAACTGCTGACTTTTGGTTAACAGACCAACTGTAATCTACCACCAGTGCTCCAATACCATAAATGTTGTTGTTGTTAAATGGCATTGAGTTGATTCCGACTCATTGTTATTGTTGTTGCTAGGTGCCATCGAGTTGGTTCTGACTCATTTTTGTTGTTGTTAGGTGCCACTGAATTGGTATCGACCCAGAGCGACTTTATGCACAGCAGAACGAAACACTGCTCGTTCCT